AAATAGATTCTTGTGTGTATAATGAGACGGGGAAGTCGCACTCTAAAGTTGTATCATAAAAATAAGTATTGTAGCAAACATAAGGCAATTTTTGGAATGTGCATATCAGTCATGGGTGTTTCCCAATCCATACACAAGTCAATAAGACTAATAAACAAGGGCTAACATAAGCCATCTGTCTCTCAGGATAAAACCAGGATCTTATAAATTTGAACAGTGGCAATTAATTATTAAAGTGTGGTTTTCTAGAGAATATTTTATATATATATATATATGGCTAGAGAGGGTATATATTATTTCGTACGTCCAAAACATGCCTCGTCGAAAAAACGATTTTAGGCCTAGGACTCTTTGGATCATATGCGTTTTGGACATTTGGAGTCCATCTAGCGATGCCTGTCCGCCCGTCCGTCTGTCTGGTTGGTGCAAATAATAACTCTCAAAGGAAGTATCCGATTTGGTGCAAACTAGGTACTTCGTAATATTATTACCAAACTTAGATAGAGTTCGGAGGTGGACAATATTAGTTTACTACTTTGATAGCTCCCCCACAAAAGGTTGAACATTTAAAAAATATATATTTATACTTCTCCAACTTTGCAAATCTTAATATTTACATCAGTGCTAAGTCAGGTGCGAAAATGGACAACATCGGTCCACTCCATCAAGAACCTCCCTACAATGGGTCAAATTTTGAATAATTATAACTCTTATAAAATTTGACCGATTGTCTTCAAATTACACACATTACAATATTTTTATTAACCCAAGATCTGGTGTGAAAATGCAATATATCGGTTCTCTCCTCCCCTACAAAGAGTCAAAATTTTTAAAATCCGTGAAGCTCATAAAACGCGAATTTTTACCGACTTTATTCAGACATGGCAAATCTCAATAATTCCACCAATACAAGATCTGTTATAAACATGGTAGAGATCGGACCATTTCTTCTCCCAAACATAGGGTCCAAGATTTGGAAAAACCAAAAAGGCTCAAAGAAAGCGAAATAAGCATCCAACTCTCTTCAAATTTCACACATACAAACATTTTTCGTAACGCAAGGTATGTTGTGAAGATGATATATATCTGCGAGCCCCTTCTGGTACCTCATATACAAATGGTCACAATTTCATGGGTCGGCGCTTCTTTACAACTGGCTATATCTAAATATTTCTCTTAACCAGAAATCTGATATGAATATTTATATATCGGAATTTATGATTTCGCATAAAATATTCCTTCAAATTTTGTCAATATTTTTGTCTGTATTAGATGAAGTATGAAAATGGAATACTTCGGTGGGCTATATCTGGCACCTCAGGCATATTTATACATTCTCCAAAAATTTGCACATCTCATATAAAGTATAGAAAATAGTCGATATAGCCCAAATCTGGCACGTTGTAATATTTATATCAGACTTAGATCAGATAGGATTAGGTAAATATTGGCAAACTGCTTTGGAACCTCCCCACAAAGGAGTCAACAGTTTCAATAATCATAACTCAAGGCTGGGGGTATACATCTGTCCGAAAAACCGAGACTACCACTATGAAAATTTAGCAGAGGTGTCTATAACAAATCGTATCAGTTAAGATCGGAATGTTAGGGCTTAAATTGGATGGAACTAATAGAAGCTACATATATCTTAACTGGATCTATTTTCACAATTGATAGAGGTAGATTTCTGATGCCGGAGACCTCTCATCCTAAATATATATTTTCGAAATTTTGAGAAATAAAAACATAAAATTGGACAAAAATTAGTAATGTGAGCTATAGCTCTATATAGGGTGAGATAAAAACTACAACAAAGTCAAACGGCATAATTTTTACATTTTCTTTTTTTTGTTTTATTGAAAGGAAGCAACTGATGTCGGATGTAGCATCAAATTTTAGAATAAATCTAGATTTGTTCGAATTATGGCCTTCAAACGGCCAATGAAACCGTCACACGCTGCCCGAATGTTGCTCTTGAAGTGATCGGAACTTTGGTATTTTTAGTGCCAACCTTGCTTTTCAAATTACTCCAGACAAAATAGTCCAAGGGATTGGTATCCTGAGATTTTGATGGCCATTGTGGGCTGGAAATGAAGTGAGGAACCTCATTTTGTAAACATTTTTGGGTGGCGCGTGCGGAGTGCGATGGTCCTGAGTCCTATTGAAATGTCCAAGGTCTGCGGCCAAAATGTTTGCGTGCCCAAGACTTTAATACACCCTCCAGAATATTTTCGCGATAATATTCGGCATTTATTCTGATGCCACGGTCGATTAATACGAGCGGAGAGGGACCATCGGCTGTTATGGCCGGCGCTTAAGTTCTGGTGGCCAACCGAAGGTACACATTTCCAGCTGACCTTTTTGGCAAGTAAATATTTCATTTTTTTTGTTTGTTTTTTGTTTATAAAATGCTGGACAACGAATGTTTTCTCATCGGAGAAAGCCACCAATTTCGGCAGTTCACCACGGCCAAGCGAAGCAACTTATTAGCTCTTTTGACTCTATTTTCTTTCTGTTGCGGTGTAAGTTCTTGCACTTTTTGGAATTTCAATGGCTTTACTCCGAGCTTATTTTTCAATATTTGCCGAATGGAATATTGCGATATCTTCAGCTCATGAGCCACTGCGACGCGGGTTCGACAAGTAGTTTCTTTACTTTTCGAACAATTTCTTCTGATGTTGCGGTTTTCTTCCGTCCACTTCCTTGACGTCGGCAGTATCGCGGTAACGAGCGATGGTGCGAGACACCAAAGATTTATTTACATTTATATACTGGAGTGCTCTAATATAGCCACTTCTGGTTTTCCAGCCAAATATAAAGAAATCACAGCATCACGCTTCAACTCCACCACGAATAACTTCTTTTCTGGAAAATTCTCACCAAAATGCTTTTGTACGCTTGTAAACAATACAATGAGCTGTCACAGGAATAATTTTAACAGCTGTCGGGCGAGTGGCTTAGAAATGACAGCAGTCTGAAGTTGGTTGCAGTTTTTTTATTTCACCCTGTATTAGGATTTGCAAAGTTGGAGCAAAATCGGATTATCCTTTCTCTTTCTGAGCAGCAAATTATTTTCTTTGAAAATGTTGACATTTTGTGGGGGAGGTACCAGAAGGAGTGGACCGATATTGCTCATCTCAGAACAGATATAATTTGACAATAATATTACGATGTACCAATTTTGGATCAAATTGGCTACTCTTGTCGGGAGTTACCTTGCGCACCACCCAAATAAAAGGACGGACATCGCTAGGTCGATTTCAAATGTCCAGAAACGGATTAAAGACACCTACGGTCAAAGACCGTCATTTCGATGACACACGTTTTGGACGTATGAAATTATATATACCCTCACGAGCCACAAGGCTCGGTATAAAAAAATTATATCGTAGATTCTAATGAGGGTTAACATTGTTGACGAAAATAGACCCAGTATTATATTCAGTAATATTGACGCAGATTCTGTATGCCTAGAATGTACGGACTGCAAGAAATGTTAATCCAAAAATTTAGAAGAGGGGGGAATTTGCTCCCTTTATTTAGGTGAATTTCCTATATAAACTATTAAAACGCCTTTTAATTTTTTGCCCTTCCTTCATAATCTACTCGACTCTCTCAGAAATGATTGAAAACTAGGAATTTTGTGCCAATGTGTTACTAAAACTAATTCAAATTTTATAGCCTTTAACGAAAATGTATTTTTGCCATTGGCATCTAAGAGATTTTCAAAAATACAAATTTGTAAAAATCATTGAATTTGGATGGTACATATTTTTATTACCTCCACCATACATAGTATGGAGGGTATATAAAGTTCGTCGTTCCGTTTGTAACTCATCGAAATAATCAATTTAGACCCAACCAACCAACCCAATATATATTCTTGATCAGCGTAAAATTCTAAGACGATTAATCCCCGTCTGTCTGTTGTAATCACGCCACAGTCCAAACGAATTAAAATATGAAGCTAAAATTTTGCACAGATCTCTCTTTTGTTTGCAGGCAGGTCAAATTCGAAGATGGGCTATATCGGTCCACGATATCGTTATCCCCCATATAACGGTACCCCCCAATATTCGGTATTTGGATGATTTTACCCACATTTTTCAACGGAATTGTCTAAAAATCCACACAAGGAATTCCTTGTGGGTACTTTATACCTCGGAGAAGAATTGTCTATATAGGTCGATGATATCGTATAGCCTCCATATAAAGGTACCCCCCGATATTCGGTATTTTGATGATTATAGCCACATTTTCTAAAGGCATGGTCTTAAAATCCACACAAGAAGTTCCTTGTGAGTACTTTATCCCTTGAAAGAGAATTATCTATATAGGTCCACGATATCGAATAGCCCCCATATAACGGTACCCCCGATATTCGGTATTTCGGAATTGTCTGATAATCCACACTAGGAGTTCTTTGTGAGTACTTTACTCCCTGAAAGAGAGTTGTCTATATAGGTCCACGATATCGTATATACCCCATATAACGGTACCCTCCGATGTTCGGTATTTTGATGATTTTAGCCACATTTCCCAATGGAATTATCTGAAAATCCAAACAAGGAGTTCCTTGTGAGGAATTTACCCCCCGACATAGATTTGTCTATATAGGTCCACAATATCGTATATCCCCCCATATATCGGCACCTACCGATATTAGGTATTTTAAAGATTTCAACAGAATTCTCAATGGATTTAAATTTTTTTGAAAATTTTCTAATTCGTTCCAAATGGTGGAGGGTATTCAAAGTTCGGCCCGGCCGAACTTACTGCATTACAAATTACAAATAAAATATTTGAATTATATTATTCAAATCCTATGAATGCAGAGCTTCAACATTATAGAATTAAATTGAATATAAATTAGTGCCCATATATAAATTAACATAGCATTAACAAATATAAAATTCGCTCTCCATATGAATTCATTAAATGCTTCTATGTAAAATACATGTCTCTATATTTATACTTTTTTTTGTATTTTATTGCAGATAAAAACGCTAATGCAATCATCCAATTAATGCTCAATGTTTAACTCTGAGTGAGCGTTGTTGTTGTATGTGTCCAATAGTAAATGTCTCAATAACCCCACAATAATACAAACAAAAGCAAAAAAAAAACTATGGCTAACAACATGACTTACTAACAAATTCTAACAACCAACAACAGCAACCGTCAAAAGCGACAGTGATAGCAACAAATGAGTTTTTTATAACCCAGCTGCAATAGAGAACCAATGTGAAAAGCTTCAAAATTTGGGGAAAAGGATTTTGTTGTTGAGTTTTCCTTTTTTTCTCCAAAAAACGAAAAGAAAATGTTTACCCAAGTTATTTACAAATCATCTAAAAATAGTGCCAAACCAAAATATGTTGTACCTGAAAATTGTAAAATTTGAAAGAAAATGCTAAACGGAACCAACACAAACAAACAAAAAACAAAATGATTTTTAAATAGTGAAGTCAAAAAGGCAATTTCCTTTGGATAAAAAAAAAAAAACAAAAAAAAAAAGAACAAAGCGGAACAGAAACACAGCCAAAAAAAAACGGCAACACAAGCGTAACTAAGCAAAAAAACTTTTAAGCCTCCCAAAATTCCTCGCCCTCCCACAGCCAATAGTTGTAGGTAGTACCGAAAACACATCCCTCTCACCCCCTTGGCGAGAGCACAAAAAATTTCAATTTGTGCTCCATTAGAAACAAATCCCCTTAAAAGTCCTAACAACAGCAACAACAGCAAACACGAAAGCAAAACGAGTAAAACTCGAAAAAAAGGATATTTCACAAATTGCTTTGAAAACCATTTGCCTCAAAAAAAGCGAAAAGAGAGAAGAAAAATCCGACACTCTTACACACACACAGACACATAGTTGCTATGGCAGGCCCACAAGTACAACGTCCAGCCAGCGCCTACTATACTGGCTTAAATGGCTCATCAAATGGCGGCCAAGCCAATGGTGGTGGTAGTGGTGGCGGCGGGGGTTTAGTGACCAGTACATCGCATCACACGGGATTGCACACCATACGCACCATATCACACGATAGTGAATTAATCTATCGCGGCAGTACAACAAATGCCTCGAATGGTACACACTTGACACAACAACATGCCAGCAGCAACAACAACAATGGAACAAGTGGTGGTGGTATTGGCAGTGGCAGTGCAGGCGGTTTGATGGTTGCCACCTCCTCTCAGACGTCACTACATCAACATCATCATCCACATCATCCGGATACATGTGCGGCCAGTACCAGCCGCTCTGTGATCCAACAACAACCCGGACCCACCTCATCAATAGGCAGCATATCTGGTGGTGGTGGGGGTGGTGGCATTGGTGTCGCCGATAGTAGTACAATAAATATTGCCTCCATAGCTGGCACTGGCCAGAATCCTAGTGATGCTTTAATTGTTCCTGTGACAACAGCCCTGACACAATCCTCACACCAACAACTGCAGCAACAACATTCCTTTCAAGCTTCCAATCGTGGCAAACAGCGTAGCATAGAAATCATTGTCGATGCCTCCAAGTGTGGCGATCTGAAGAGTGAAGACGACGTGGAACAGGGTAAATCGAGACGTTCATCGCGGCATCGTCATCGACCGCTGCACCGAAGACTGATGAGCTATTTGAAGAGTTTCTTCAATCGAAGTACCACACAGACGGGTAAGCAAATTTCCTTTTTTTGTTGCTATAATGCTTCTTGGCTTACAAGGTCGAAGGACCAAAAAATTAATACTAAATTATGCATTTTAACATATCAGTCATAATCCAATATAACCTAGACTATACTCCTTAAAAATTCCGAATAATAAAATTTAGTTTAAGTGCCTTTGGGATACGCATCATGCCAACTCATTATACATTTCAACAGAGTACCCTAGAATAAACTCCTAAAAATTCCGAATACTAAAATTCAATTTAATTGCCCTTGGGATTCTCATCATTCCAACTCATTATGCATTTCAGCAGAGAAAAAGGGGAACATACCTTGTACCGAAATGTTATGCATTTGTCCATTTTTAAAATGCATACGCAAATATTTGTTTCGAAAATACCCCATTTCTAAACTGGACACATTTTACAATACCCCCGGAAAAAACATAAAATGCAAATATTTCAAGATTAATTGAACCCAAAACATGTGTGCTCCAAAGCGGTACTGTATGCCAAAATAGGGGACACACAAAAATACAAGTGCACCAATATACTTTTGGGTCAATTCAAATTTTATGGGAGTTACTAAACGATCAGATAAACAATGGCGATGATGTCGTCCCGAAAGAGAAACCTCCATGAATATGGGCATGCATAAATAGAATATTTTGTATTGCCACTACACACAAAGAAGGGAGGAGGTCGTGAAGAGAGAGAGAGGGAGAGAGAGGGGGAGAGAGAGAGAGAGAGAGTGGACAAACTATGCCTAAACAAATAATACAATGGAAACTTTTAACAAATAAAACGTTAGGGTGGGTCGAGTAGAGTATATACAATCAAAACATAGTTCTACAGCAGAACACAGAAGGCCTTTAGAATATCCGTGAAAGGTATTTTGCCTATATAGAACAGACCTTTGAATAGAAGACATTGGAGAGGTATTTTATAAATATGCAAGAGTGACTGATCACCTCATCAATACCCTACAGAAACGTATGGGGCTAGAATATGAAATTCGATATCTTAGTATCTGTTTGTATGTGTGGCACAGAGGCGGGCGCAGTTTTTGGAAATTAAAACTACAAGGTCCCACACCAAGTACTACAACTTGTGTTTTTTAACAGTTATCATTTAACAGCTATATGTCGCATATTTCGTAAAAACAGATACTTAAAACCAAAGCTCAGATTTGCTCATTTTCACTAGGGAGCGAAACTTACTCGTGAGCAGGATTGCTCAAAGAGTGGGAGTTTCTTACGGAGTCTACTCTTCACTCATTTGTTTTGAGCGGGAACACTCCTAAGTCACTCCTGTTTAAAAAATTAGAGTGAGAGCAGAATCACTCAAAATAGATATAGAGTGAAAATGAGAAGAACTTTTTTTATGTACAGGGTTGCCCATATTCGACGGACCTTTGGGCCCTTTGGGCTTGTCCGCAGGCAACATTCTTTGCGTCAATTGAATTTTGTACGGGAACAAATGCAAATCAATGCGAATAATCCGTTGTAAAGTGGACCGAGCAATGCCCAACTGCTGAGAACGGCGTTTTTGGGATGTTCTTGGGGACCTCTCAGCACTGGCTCGTACGACAGCGATATTCTCGGTCGATCGCCTTGGTCGACTTTTATATGGCCTCTTCGGATTAGAAAAAGCCTTACCAGTCGAAAATTTTTCGTATAAACGCTTAATGGTGTTCTTAGAAGGCGCACTTCTCACATTTTTTAATGTTTTAAAAGCACGTTGAGTTTTCACAATTGACTTCTTCTATTGAATGTAAATTTCTACTATTTCAGAGCGCTCGCGTGACGTGTATTGGTTCATGGTAAAAATCTGCTTGGACTGACGCTTCAAACGCGGTATGTCATTAAGCGATGTGACATCTCTGTCAAAAGTTATGGCGTTGGGTAACCCTGTACTAAAACTTGTGTTTTTAACAGCTGTCATTTAACAGCTATATGTCGCATATTTCGTAAAAAAAAACAGATATTTAAAACCAGAGCTCAGATTTGCTCATTTTCACTCGGGAGGGAAACTTACCCGTGAGCAGGATTGCTCAAAGAGTGGGAGTTTTTTACGGAGTCTTCTCTTCACTCTTTTGTTTTTTTTTTTTTTTTGCGAGTACACTCCTGCTTCGCTCCTGATTAAAAAATTAGAGTGAGAGCAGAATCACTCAAAATATGTTTAGAGTTTGCTTTAAGAGTGAAAATGAGTAGAACTTTTTTATTTGGTGATTTATGTGTGCAAAATAAACCGATTTTTAAGCGACAGCTTACAAACCAAACCCCCCAGACAATGTTCGATAATTTGAATATATTTTGAATTCTGTTACGATTATTCAAATTTTTGGCCCTCTATGGAGTAGGTTTCGAAGGAATGGACCAATATTATAAATTTCGTATCGGAAAATATATAAATATGATATAAATATTGCGACGTGGGACTATATTTGTCACTTCCTTCACTTTGTATGAGATATGTGATAATTTTTAGAAAATGAAAAAAATATGCGCGAGGTTACCGATAGAAATCGGTAAAATTAAAATGTTGATAATTTCGGTAATTAACGATACTCTTCATCAAGTTACCGACCAAAAGGAAGAAGTTGTTTAGTCCTACCGATAGCAAAAGTGTTGTCAACTTTAATTTAGACTTTTTCTTCGTAATTTGGATACAGCAAGTAAAGAATCACCGACTAGTTCTGCAAGTTATTACAGATATAAGCCTTGGAAATTGTGACACTTTGTAGGTGAGCTACCACAAGGGGCTCGCAGATATATATCATCTTCACAACAGATGTTGTGTTAGCAAAAATGTTTGTATGTGTGAAATTTAGAGAGAGAGAGAGAGTTGGAGCCTAATTGGCTTTCTTTGAGCGTTATGTTTTTCAAAATCTTGAACTCTATGTGGGGCACGTAGCAAATATAAATGGTCCGATCTCTACCATCTTTATAACAAATCTTGTGTTGATGGAAATATTGAGATGTATCAAGTCTGGAATGGAATCGGATATTAATTTCGCTTTTTATGACCTTCATGGATATTCAAAATTTTGAACCTTTGTGGAAGAAGTACCAGTAGAAGTGGACCGATACATCCCATTTTCACAACAGATCTTGTGCTTGTGTAAAGAGAACCTGATGCTTATTTCGCGTTTTATGAGCTTCATGGATATTCAAAATTTTGACCCTTTGTAGGAGAGGTAACAGAAGGAATGATCCGATCTCTACCTGCCACGTCTTAATGGAATCGGATGTTAATTTCGCGTTTTATAAGCTTAATGGATATTCAAAATTTCGATCTTTTGTGGGGGAGGTACCAGAAGGAGTGGACCGATATATTCCATCTTAACACCAGATCTTAAGCTTATTATAAAAATATTGGGATGTATGAAATATTAAGTCATTCGAATTTTTACATCACATTTTATAAGAGTTATAATTTTTCAAAAAATTAAACCCTTTGTGGGGGAAGTACTTGATGGAGTGGACCGATATTATCCATTTTTGCATCTGACCGAGAATTGAGGTAAATATTAGGATTTCAAAGTTGGAGCAATAAATGATTATTGCTTCTCTTTCTGTGCAGAAAATATTTTTTACCAGAAAGAGTGGACCGATATTGTCCATCTTATGTTGACCCTCTGTGGGAGAGGTACATGATGGAGTGGACCGATATTGTTCATTTGAACTGAATTTGAACTAGAACTGACACAAATATTGGAATTTGCAAAGTTGGAGCGAAATCTCCTTTTGTGCAAAAAAAATATGCTTTTTTTTTGAAAATTGCGACCATTTGTTGGGTTGGTACCAGAAGGAGTGGACCGATATATTCCATCTTAACACCAGACTTTGGGTTAATATAAATATTAGCATGTTTGAATTTTGACGACAATCGGACTCTTACATCACATTTTATGAGAGTTGTAATTATTTAAAATGTTGACCCTTTGTGGGGGAGGTACCAGAAGGAGTGGACCGATATTGTCCGTTTTCGCACCTGACCTGGCACTGACGCGACTATTAGGATTTCTGTGCAAAAAAAAAAATATTTTTTTTTTTGAAAATTTTGACATTTTGCGCGGAAGGTACCAGAAGGAGTGGACAGATAGTACCCACCTCCGAACTCGACCTTGGGTTAATAAAATTATTGGGATGTTTGAAATTTGAAGACAATCGGACTTTTACATCACATTTTATAAAATTTGTAATCATTCAAAATTTTGACCCTTGTGGGGGAGGTACCTGATGGAGTGGACCGATATTGTCCATTTTCGCACTTGACCTAGCACTGATGAAAATATTAGGATTCGCAAAGTTGGAGCAAAATTGGATTATCCTTTCTGTTTCCGTGTAATAAATTATTTTCTTTGAAAATTTTGACATTTTGTTTGGGAGGTACCAGAAGGAGTGGACCGATAGTGCCCATCTCCGAACTCGATCTAAGTTTGACAATAATATTACGATTTACCAACTTTGGATCAAATCGGATACTCCTTTCGAGAGTTATCGTGCGCACCAGCCAGCCAGACAAACAGACGGACGGACATCGCTAGATCGACTCCAAATGTCCTGAAACGGATTGGGTCCAAAGAGACCTAGGGTCTAAAACAGTTATTTTGGCTAGGCACGTTTTGACAATATCAAATGATATATACCCTCTGTAAATAAATGGCTGAGGGTATAAAAACTCAAAATATCAAATTGCAGCTACTCTGCGAAAGAGTGGGGCCCAGGATCCTTTAGAAATTATTGCTTTTTCTTAGATTAAAAATATTTTTTTTTTGCTATTTCAGCCACCCCTAAAATTGTTTCGAAATGCATTTTTTGAAATATCATCTACGTACCTTCGCAGGTCTCTATTTTACTACTTATAAAACTCGGGAAAGATATTTTATATCCTTAGCGAAGCGTGTCTCTTTATAGATGACATGAAAAAGGCATTCTCTTTATAGAGACCAGAAAATGTCTTACGCAGCCACAAGATCCGCGGTAAACCCGAAATAGATCTTC